TTTTTTTTTTTTTTTTTTTTTTTTTTTTTTTTTTTTTTTTTTTTTTTTTTTTTTTTTTTTTTGTAATAAATAACCGGGAATCAAAGCTTTGCTCCCTTGTACCTGGGGGCACCCGCGCCCACTCCAAGGCATCTTATGTTTATTCTTGTAACGCTCCATGCCAAGGGTTCGAGCTAAGATTTGGAATTTGGATTCGACAGCTAATAACTCTGACGTTCTCCTGCATCCCTTGCGATTTGAGCATGTTACCTACTTATCTTGAACTACTTTTAAGAATGAGGGCTATACCCACAAACTAACATGGGTTCTTTAAGTATGCTTGGTCCTTACTCACATGTTTCCAAAGAAAATTCCTACAAGATCACCCAATATAGAATTGTTTTTAGCCAGACACTCTTAACTTTGGATTCATATGATTGAACCACCGAAAAGGCATGTACAACTTGTTGGTATAGATAGTAACTATATTCTTTTTAAACATTTCTTATCCATCATATCCTTATGATCACACTCATTTAGGTATGATATTTGGTTCATTTATGTACCTCTCCTTTACTCAAGCATGACAACTTAAAAAAAAAAAAAACAATATAGTTAGTCTATCCCACAACTGCATTAATCTCAGAAGTCATCTTAGCCTGCAAAATACAAACCGATCACTCCACTGTTGAGTGAGTCTACCTGTTTCTGTTTTCATTTCTATAGAACCTTTTTTAATAGAGAAATTAATAGGTTAGCTTCACTTCTTTCCATAATTTAAAGGGTCAGGCTTTATCTTGGGCGTAGCAAGCTATGGTCGAGTATAGTCTTTGAGCCCTACGGTGGTTTCTCTCTCAATTGATTTCGTCCCAATCTCCTTCTCCCCATTCTCTTACTCTAAACATTGGAAATATTTCATCCCACAAACAAGTTAGCTCTCTTCTTGGCTTGTTGCACTTGGTAGGATTAATACCCTTAAATACATTCAAAGTCCTAAGCTTTTGTCCTTGGCCCCAACTGATGTATTTTTCCCTTGAACGGCCTGTTTCTGGGTTTGCTCTGTTAGACTATTGTTCCCGTTTCTAATTTTCGCTTTGTTCATCTCCTTCCTGTTTCTGATATTCGTTTTGGTCTTAATAATATCACATAAATTTTTTACTATTCAGCTTAAATTTCTACATCAGTATCCTACTCCATACATTTCCCCCTAAACTTTGCCATTGCAATCCAACCTCCGCACAGCAATCGGAGTAGAGAATGGTCCAAAACGGTCACACACAAACTAGTATCAGAATCTATTTTCTCTTCCATAGAACTAGATAAAAATCTGAAATATAATCCTTTCCCAACATTTTCCATCTGTTATTTCCTACAGCCCATACAGAAATTTTCGTACAGAAGGTGGGGCGTACCTGTCTACAGGATGCAGATCTGAATTTGGGTAGAGTGAAGTGAGAGATTGATAGATGCAGTAGCAGGGAGAGGTAAATTGAAGAACCTCCAGCAAAGGCAATGGCTGAACTCCTAATCAGGTAGACGTTGAAAGGCGGCAAGGTGATGGCAAAAATCCCGGTCGATAAATGTCACAGAGCCTTAGGTTATAAATTCTTCAAAATAGTAAAATAATAATACACCAGCAATTCTACCTAAAAAAATATTTTATATCTCAATTAAATAAAAAATAAATACGGAGAAATTTTCGAATTTTATATTTTAATAATATAAAATACTCGTATAAAAATACATAGATTTAACCAATTTAAGAAATTCTTTAGACCACGTGGCTCCATGGGATTCGTAAGATGGACAGATCAACGGCCTCATCGACGTGTCAAAATACACGAGATGTGCAACTGTTTATTGATCTAGCAAAACCATAAAATACTGACACGTGTACAATTGATTCGGTCTAAAAGTCAACAACCTTTCCCAAATTATCTTTTTTTTTGTACGAACATTTTTTTAAAGTTAATTAAGCTGTGAATCATTATATTAACTCCAGAATTCACTGATTCAGCCATTTCGATCCGGCAACCGAGCTTGAATTTCTGAAATGTCTGCATTGTCGTTACCGATTCTCGGAGTTCCGGTTCGATCAAGCCTTTCCTTCTCGTCCCCCACCATTCTTTTTCCCCCGTTTTCAGTTCGCGCCAAGAATTTATCTTCGCGTTTCTTCATATGTCAGGCCTCTAATGGAACTAATCCCACTAGTGAGACTGTTTTCGCAGTGCCAACAATATCAGTTGACAACTCTGAGGAGGATGAGTCCACCTCATTCGTGATTCGGGCCCGCAATCGAATCGGCCTCCTTCAGGTGATCACCAGGGTTTTCAAGGTCCTCGGCTTGCGCATTGACAAGGCTACTGTGGAGTTCGAGGATGACTATTTCACCAAGACGTTCTTTGTAAGCGATTCGCATGGCAATAAGATTGAAAATCTGGAGAGCATTGATAGGATCAAGAAGGCACTGATGGACGCGATCGGTGGCGATGACTTGACGATCTCCACCGGACCTGCCACTCGTGGCATTGTGGTGAGAAAGCCTGGGTTGTTGTCTTCCTCACTGGATCGGACAGCGAAGGCGGAAAGAATGTTTGAGTTGATGGACGGGTTCTTGAAAAATGATCCAGTTAGCCTTCAAAAGGATATTCTCGATCACGTTGAGTACACAGTTGCCCGGTCTCGCTTTAGTTTTGATGACTTTGAAGCCTACCAGGTAATTCCGTTTAGCTACTTTTAAATTCCAAACAAAATTTTTTCGAGTACTCAATTCAAGAATAGGTACAAGTTGTGGCGATTTTCTTGTACAGGAGTAGAATGCGCCTACTTTTGGAACAAATAGATTCCTGTTGTTTAGACATGTAATCATGTGAAACTTCACAGATTTGACATTCTCTTGGAGAAACGATAAGCTGTAAGCTTTGACCCACGAGTTGATAAGCAAATTGGAGTTCGGAAAAATATTTTGAATGTATCATTGAATCTGCTCATGGCTGCCATTGTATAGAATGACAAGGTGCTAGTTGAACAATCTTAGGAAAAGATTGTACAATTACTCAGGCTTGACCCACAATTTTCTCCACCATGTTTCTGAGTTGATGTGTGATCGATTTTATTTCCTTCAACATGTCAAGGTCTAGTCTGACATACCTATCGAACCTCCCATTTTTAGAAACAAATGAAATTTCAAAGGCAACGAAGTTCTGAAAACATAAAAATAAAACTACAGATATCACGCATTCAAAGAAGTTTTAATTTAGAAAGTTCCATAAATTATATATCAACGACAGTTCTAATATATTTCTCCATATGTCATATTCTTATGACGTATTAAAAAAAACATATTTATTCTGGTATTGATTTCAAACCCTCTAATTTGTTAAAATATCGATGAAAATATTGGCATGTAAATTCCACTCGATGGATCTTGTGTTGCGACCTTTTCCTTGAATAATTAACAGGGTATTGTTGCATAGTATTTGTGGGCATATTTTCCTAAGCAGCATGTCTGGTGACAAACATGTAGGGTCATTCTTTCTAAATATAAAATAAAAAAAGCATCCAAATCATGAGTAATGTTGTAATAGTTTTGGCAAATTGTTACAATTATTTGTACTTGAATTGACTCTTCTTTTCATCATCATTTGATAATTAATTTTGAATAGTGGTGTTTGTAGGCTTTGTCTCATTGCATAAGAGATCGATTGATTGAACGATGGCATGATACTCAGATACACTTCAAGAGGAAAGATCCGAAGCGCGTATACTTTCTCTCACTTGAGTATCTTATGGGTATTTATGCACTTTTCTGAGTTAAGAGTTTCCTTTTACAATTCCAGTGTCGTTTTCTCTATCAGAATCTGGTAATATGACAAAAAGGTTTTCATTAAAACTAACTATGGTTTCAGCCATTAGGTCTTCTTTTAAGGACTTCTAAGAGACGTCAAATTGTGATGTCTTTGAAATGGAATGTAGTGTTTGCTAACTTCTCTCTGAGTTCTCTTTTTAAGTCCTTTAGTATGATGGTGTTATATGTCAGCTGATGTTGTTAGATAACTGTCAACTGACAGCTTGAACAACTGCAGATATAGCCAGCTTTTCATCTGGCTGACACTAGATTATGAGTGTTGAACTCATTTGTAATATATTCTTTTAGCAATTGAATAATTGAATCCTTTTTTTTTTCTTCTCATACAAAAAAAACATCAAGGTTATTCAATCACGTAACCTTTTTTGAGACAAAATCATGATACTTCTAATATTTAATAATTTGAGAATACATAAGCATAGCAAAGCTGGCACTCTTCAAATATGTCACCTTCTTTCCATTACAATCGTTTTTAACTTCAATATTTTACCTACTTAAAGTTTCAGCTCTTGCAGTTTGGTAGGACTGTTTCATATTCCTTGGTCGATCAAATTAGTTTGAAAGACTAGACCCGTCACTGTGTGTCATTTTTTCTTTTTATTTTTCCAGCTGCACATCTATTGTTTCATATTTTTTCTATGCACGCTTTGATTTTACTCTTGGTTACATTTAAACTGAACTAGTGCTTTGGGCTTTTGGTTTGCTATCTAATCGTTACTCAATCTGGTTATATTCTCTTGAGGATCATTGTTGTTGATTTTCTCACATTTCCATCGTCTCTTGTTGTCCTTCCCCTGCTATCAGTTATTTTCTATAATTTTATTTTAGAGAACGTTCTATATTCTTGAACTTTCCCTCATATTTTTAGTCCTTACTCTTTGGTTCTTGACTATTAATGCCAATATAAAGCTTTATTTGAAACCAGGCCGTTCTTTGTCAAATAGTATTATCAACCTTGGTATCCGTGACCAATGTGCTGATGCTCTGAGCCAGCTTGGTTTTGAGTTTGAAGTTCTAGCAGAACAGGTTAGTGCATACTTGGTAGTTGTCTTAATCTCTGCAATCTTAGCTTTCATGAATGGTTTAACTCAGTAGATTTATAGTCATTTTCTTCATCTATATTATACTATATATAAATTATGGTACTGAAGAGACTTTATGTTTGTTTTCATTTCCCCTTCAACTTTTTTTTATTTTTTTATTTTTCCCTTCCTTTTTTCAAAATGAAATGATAATGACAAACAAAACAAAATTAATTTTACTCGCATATGTTAATGACTAGTACTAGAATGACCAGCGTATGTCTGGTTAAGCTATTACAGTGTCAAAAACATTCTCAGATTTTGCTGAGTTAAGTTTGGAGTTATACTAGAGATCGTGAAGACTTACTGGCACATCATTGTCAACCTCAATCTTCCAAGTTGTGTTTTTAGCAGGGAATAGGGATGAGGTTGCTGTTTGCCTCTTCTCTTTCACTCATGGATTTAAGAATTTCCAGGCCTTTTCCTGGTTTAAATATCATATGTTGTTTCTTGTTTACCACATTTTATCGTACCCTACTTCGCTTTCTTATGCTAACTGTAACCAATGTTTCCAGGAAGGAGATGCTGCCCTTGGCAATGGTGGCCTTGCTCGACTTTCTGCATGTCAAATGGATTCTTTGGCAACTATGGACTTTCCAGCTTGGGGGTATTACACCTTGAGATAAAATTCTAGAATTTCATGTATATGAGTAATTATAATTATCTTCATACCCATAGTACAGTATCTACTGCAGTTGAGTATATAAGAGTATGAATTTGTAATTGCACTCGATCTTCAATATTCTTTAGAAAGCCTTTCAACTCCTTGTCCTCTATGTAGTATGATGAAGTAAATTCAGTTATTATGGTTTCTATGTGTGTGAATGTGTGATACCGAAACAATGTTGTTTCTATTTCTAGCTATGGACTACGATACCAATATGGATTGTTTCGTCAAGTCATACTAGATGGCTTTCAACACGAACAGCCTGATTATTGGTTGAACTTTGGGAATCCTTGGGAGATAGAGAGAGTTCATGTAACATATCCCGTCAAGGTTTGCGAATGTCACATGTCCCATATTTTTGAAGCTTTCCTCTTTTTGCATGTCTGAAATTTGCATAAAATTTCCAACTTACTTTACGTGATGCTGGTTTAGTTCTATGGTACTGTTGAAGAGGACATTTCGAATGGTGAGAAGTACAAAGTTTGGATCCCTGGTGAAATGGTAAGAAACATCATTCCTATTTCAGGAGTTCTGTGTTGTTTATTTAACGCCTTTTCCTAGTTTCTTTTTGAGACAGCTAATCGTAGACTTTTGAAAACTACACCCTAAGTTGAAGGACTCTCAAAACTATATCAGCTGAGTTGTCTGTCTCAATTATTTTAGGTTGAAGCAGTAGCCTATGACAATCCTATACCTGGTTATGGGACAAGAAATACCATTACTCTCCGCCTTTGGGCCGCCAAACCAAGTAATCAGCATGATATGGTAATTACTGAACACCAATATACTATTGAAATAATTCCAATGTATATCTAGTATCATACGTATGAAAAACTCAGCTTTCACATTGTTTAGCTGCATATATTCTTCATTGCATCATAAAAATATGAGCTCTTTCCCAATAATGAAGATATAACAGTTTATTAGACTCCACTGGGCAGCTGTTTTGGAATCTTTTATTCATCTCTGTT